CTTCTTCTTCTTCTTCTTCTTCTTCTTCTTCTTCTTCTTCTTCTTCTTCTTCTTCTTCTTCTTCTTCTTCTCCTTCTTCTTCTTCTTCTTCTTCTTCTTCTCCTTCTTCTCCTTCTCCTTCTTCTCCTTCTCCTTCTCCTTCTTCTCCTTCTTCTCCTTCTTCTCCTTCTTCTCCTTCTCCTTCTTCTCCTTCTCCTTCTTCTCCTTCTTCTCCTTCTTCTCCTTCTTCTCCTTCTTCTCCTTCTCCTTCTTCTTCTTCTTCCTTCCTTTTCTGTCCTATTAAACTGTCTTTATCTCCACCCACAAGTTTTACCTTTTCCTAACTCTCCCTTCCCACTGGGGGCTGGTGAGCAAACAGCTTGTATGGTGCTGAGCTGCCTGCCAGTTTAAACTACTACAGGCTGTGGAAGGTCAAGATATTCCCAGCAATTCGGGGACAGACACGCTAACTCCTGTTGAAGAGCCTCAGCTCCATAGGCAAGTGGGCACCATGAGTCCATGACAAGAGATTTCAGTCTCTTTCTCCATTCTTCAACTGTCCAACATTCTCCAACAATAAGGAGACGGCAACCCAATGTGCCAAACATGCCATCGCCCCCAGCCCTCCTTCCACAGCTCCCTCATCACTGCTGGGAGGAATAAAAACTACTGGCTGCTATAGTGTGAGTAGCACCACCATTTCCAAGGAAAGGCTAATGCCACGCCAACTCCAGGCCAAAGTCCATGCACTGTCTTAGAGAGCAGTCTGCTTTGTTGGCACTTGGCTCCTTATAGATGCTGGTGGCAAGGCAGATATTTGAGTTCCAGTCTGAATTAATGCTGCAAGAGAAAGAAGTGCTAAACAGCAACTGACCATCACTTGTGGGACATGTGGCTAAATGGCATGGCACCATCTTCTTTCATCCACACCTACAAGGAGAACCTCTGGGTGGTGGACTGCATCCATTCTTCATTTGCCAGCATCCTGCATCCTTTAATATTAATCTCATTTCCTCTGTTGGCCACCATTTGGTGTCAGGGATGAAGCCCAACTACAGGAAGTTCATCCACATCCTGTTGGAAACATGGGCCTCAGAATCATGTTCTAGGACATGTGTCAAGCTTGCATGAGTAGGTGTGATGGATTCAGGAGTTCAGATCCCAGGCTATCTTCTGTTACACTCTATTGGGTTGTAGAGGCAGAGGCACCAGTATGGCAGTCAAAAAAGAAGATTGGAAAAATGCCTTACTGCTTGTCCCAAACATCCTTCTCACTTCAGTGAAGTAGTGAAGGCTGGGAGAAGTTCTGAAGGTCAACAGCATCCATAGCACCATTACTTGTTCATGTTCTGGGTGTGATAGAGCAGTTCATTTATATTTTACAGCAAAAAATACAGGGAAAAAGAGAATGATAGAAAGATATATATATATATACACATGTATATTTCCAAATCATTTATGCATCTGCAGCCAAAGGAGAAAAGTACAAAGACTTTCTCTGCAGACTTTTGCATGGGCCTGTGGAGCAGATCTCCATGGTCAGTGCAGGCAGTTTTGACAAGATGGAGATGCCTTGCATTCTTGAGTGTTTGGAAGGTTTCATCCTGCACTCACCAACTTCTTTCTGTCCATGCAACAGGAAACTGAGTGCGAGCTTGTACCCATGCCCAGAGTTCCCAGGAGGAAGCTTTTATTTGTACATGCAGCATACAGAGACTGTCGAGTTTAATAGTTCCAGTGCTACACCAATTTATCTAATTTCTGTTTGACTTTTAGATTCACAATGCCATGAGATAAACTCACTCGCCATTCCTTTGCCTCGTGCCTGTGTCTCTTTGGTTGCTAAAACTGCCAGATAACCATTCTCCAATCGCTCTTTATTCCTACTGCATCAGGTTTATACATCTATAGCATTTACCACCTCATTTGTTTCTTCATGGATAGTCCTAATATATTCTTCATGGATATATTCAGTTTTTTATTGCATGGATTTCATTCTCACCTCTGATTGTCCAACTTTCTCATCTCTGGTGACTTTTTCCATCTCTTCTATATCTTTTCTTTGGAGGCAGGCACCAAAACAGTCAGTATACATCTATGATCACCTTCTAGTTTATACAGTCGCAAGTGATGTCTTCTGCTGCCTAGTCCTTTCCTTGCAGTTTTTAAAGCCTGTATACTCTATAATTGGTTGATGTTTTCAGAAAATTGCCCATGATTACCCTCAAAACTGACTCTCCAATTGTAACAGCTAATTTAGAGTCCCTCGTGGCGCACAGTTAGGGATGTACTATCAACATAGAATTTAATTTGCCATTTTATCATCCACTCACTCAGCAGCCTGAGATCCTTCTGCAGCTTTCTCCAGTCACTTCTAGATTTGACTGTTCCAAACTATTTTATCCACCAGAAAATGTTGGCATCATGCTGTTTACTCATTTATTAATGTGCTGAAAAATTCAGCTCCAGTACAGGTACATGTAGCATTAAATAAGTTATCTCTACACTGTGAAAACTTTCCAATTAGTCTTATTGTTGCTTCTGAGCTTTGTAAGACATCAATCTATTCCATCTCAGTGTCGTTGGAGATTCTATGACAGATACTTTTAAAAGCTTAAAAGCTTTTTTTTGGATTACATTATATTAATCAGATCACCGTTGTCCACATACACTTCCTTCCAAAAAAAACATTAAACTGATCTCCTTTCAATCCATATCAACTCTTCCTCAAGTCATTGGATTTATCCAAGAGTTTCTATTAATTCTATGTTTATTGAAATTTCCGCTGCTTTGGTAGATGTAGAAATGAGACCTCTGACTCTGGAGAGCTTTAGATTAATGACTGAGACTTTCAGGCACTGACGATCTCTGTGTCATCTCCATTCCCTTAGTAGCTAAGTAGCAGGTCACAGCCCACTATGAGCAGATCAGAAGTGTCCTGATGGAGTTTGGTTAGAGCTCCTGGCAATGTTCGTCTAATGAGTGAGGTTTGTGACTTCTTTACACTGACTTTTCAATCTGAATTCTCACCACCACCTCTTACAAGGGCTCAGATGAGAGAAACCCTCTCCACTGCCACTTCTGCACTGTGAGTAGTGTCCCCATAGTGAGCACTGCAGCTGTTTTGCCCTGCCTCAGTGCTCAGTGTAGGGATCACTCTAGAGAATTGCTCCAGGGACTTGGAGCTTTAACCTCCCATGTGGCAGTGCCCCTTTGGAACATCCCTTTTGCATTGCACCAAGGACGACAGCTTCCTCACCATCTCTCTCAGAGACTGTGTTGCACCCATATAGCTGTAATTGGCATCACATAATGTGAGATCCAAAGGGCCAGTTACAAAATCCCTCAGCGATTCAGATGGCTCATTCCTGTGTAGGATCCTTGCTCCCACGGGGCATACATCTGGGCCATATCTGGGCCACTGTCTGCTGGGGAAGGTCCCTCTGTGCGTTCTGTCTCTCCTTTCCCCAGCCTGGACGTACTTCACTCATAAACTTTCCCTCCTCTGAAGTGCAAGTACTGTTGGACTGGGGATGAGCACGTTATAATGTCCCTAAAAGCCTCACTGATGTACTTCTCTGCTTCCCTTAGACATCTGTTGTTCCAGAAAAACAAAGTCTGCCTGCAGCAGGTGAACAGATGGCAAATGATCCTGAGGAAAAACCTGAAAAGTCCCTTTAGCACAGTGTGGCCCTGGCACAGGAGAGCTCTCAGAAATCCTGAGTGTCTCCAATATTTTTGTTTCTCTTATTTCCTTGCCTAATTCTTAGTTTCCCAGGAAATCCACATGACATTATTGCTCTCAAATGACTGCACACGGTTATTTTTAAATTGCTGCTCTCTTCAGCATTGACAGGCAGCCTGGGAGAAGCTGACACATTTGTAATCAATCACAAAGGGGAAAAAGAGAGCTACAGAGCAATGTAGACCTGCCTAGATAATGAAGAAATGTCTCCTGAATGAGGTTTGCATCAATCAGTGAGAAAAATATCCAAAGCAACTATCTGTGCATATTCTTCTTCCAGCTCTGCAAAATATTCCGGATGGCTGCTCACTCATCTGCAGCACTGGCAGGACCCACCTTTGTGGTACAAAGGGTGTTCAGCTCCAGCTGCGAGCTGGATTAAAGTTCAGATGCCTGAGGCCACCTGATGTTAGCTTTATGCAACTGTTTATCCCAAGTTTTCATTGGGGGCATCCAAAAGCTATGTCTGGGTGCTTCCTATGCACCTATGCTTGTGTCGGATTATGGAGCTGTGGGAAGAAGTTGCCAGATACTACATATAAAATAGATGATTTAAATTTAAAATTATATCTACTTTATCCCCATGTGACTCTGACCAGTAAGGATGTGCTTGTGGCACAGGTCTAGATGGCATGGGAAATGCTAAGCCCTGGCAAAAACTCCCAGCATTTATCAAAGATCAGCTACACCAGGTCAGCTCTGGACCCAGAAGAGGCATGAGAAAGAGCCCTGCCTAGCTGGTTCCCTTGGGCCACCACAGCCACAGAGGGATTCAGTCGGCTTTAAGGACAGCATGCCTACAAGGTATATGAATCCTGAGCATCTGAGCTCATCATAGTCCTCTCCACGGGTCTCGCACACAGTGTTTGCATCCTCTCTCCTGCTGGGTCATGTCTTGGAGCCGGCTTTTGCCTCAGTTGTTCCATAGCTTCATGGCACGGCTCAGTGACTCGGTGTGCATTGTGCTGAGCTGGATGCCCGTTGCTATAATTTTACTTGTTTGTGTCCCTTAATCTGTATTTGTTCCCTTGGAAGTGCAGGGAGACACGTTAGGGCAGAGGCACTAGGTAAATACCATGTGCTCCTCTCCCCACCGGTGCTCTGGGAGCAGCGATTAGCCCAGGGTAAACAGAGCTGACTGTGCTCCTCCTGCCAGCAAGCCCTGCTGGCAAGGGGTGGGCCAGGGGACCTGGAGCTGATCTTCCCCAGATCTGCGGGGGAAATAAAAGTCAGGGCAGTCGGGCGCACAGTGAGAACACGGCAGTGGCACAGAGCTGGAGCACCTGTGGCTAGTGGTGGCCTGTGGCAAGCGCTGCAGCCTGGCTGTGGGTGCGCCATGGGCGGGATCACTGCCACTGCTATAAATAGGGCTCACAGAGAGCTGGCCTGGCAAACCCAGAGCTGAACCAAGCAGCGTGGAGGAGACGGCGTGGGACAGGGGTGGGGCGAGCCACACTGAGGAGGAGGTGCCTGTGCAGTGCTGGGGAGGGCAGTAGTGCGTGCTCCATGCCAGTGCAGCATCTGTAGGGCTCGGGCACTTGCCAGAATATGGACTGCAGTGCTGGGGCAGACCACTAAGGGCTTCCCAGCTGGTGTGGCTCCTGCAGCAGGCACTGGGCAATGGCACAAGCTCAGGTGGGGCTCCCAGGACCCTTCCCGGAACCCCTCGTTGGGTCATGCCCTGACTCCGACTTCGACTCTGACTCTGAGGATGCGACCATGGGTGGTGCAGGGCCTGGTGCTGGGGTGCAGAAACCCTCCCAGGTCATCCACAGTGGCCACTTCATGGTGTCGTCGCCGCACAGCGACTCGCTGCCCCGTCGGCGCCACCGCCATGCTGATCCCAAGGCAGCTGATCCACGGAGCATCGACCCGACCCTGACCCGGCTCTTTGAGTGCATGAGCCTAGAGTACAGGTGAGTCCGAGAGTCCTCGCGCCCAGCATGCGTCTCACTGATCCCCCAGTTCTCTGAAGGCGTGAGTCTGGCACGCTGGAAAAGCTGGGTTCCCCCAGCCCTGCTCCATCTCCAGGAACCTCATCTGCTTGTCCATTGGGCTGTAGTGGGGAATCTGCTCACAGAACACCATCCTGGGAGGTTTCAGGGAAAAAGAGCTGGTGCTGGAGAACTGCTATGGAGCCAGATGAGTTCTTCCTCTCTTAGCACATAGCTTAACCATCCTCCATCAGGAGGTTTGGAGCTACTGCACTTGTATGCAGCACCCTGCACCCCAGCCTTGCACACTCTGTAGAGCAGCAGTAACCTGTATGCAGACAACACTTAGTCTTTGGCAATCCAGGACAGAGCTGTGCCCACTTGTCCCAAGGTTATTCTAGGTCATGTGGCAGTGGCAGCACTCCAGCCTGGACGGCTACACAGGGCTTTATCTACGACCTGCTGAAAGCTTCCCCCCTTCTCTCCAGCAAAACCAGATGGGTGACTGTGTCGTTCCCCCAAACACACAAATCACCCAAGCCCAGGGTGCAAGGGACGTGCTCAGCCCACATACAGCTCCTCAGTGACAACAGGAGAGCCTGCAACTTGTTTCTTAGCACCTTGGGCCATGTTCTTGGAGGTAGCTCCCCTCTTCCACAAAGACCTCAAGGCTTTGCAATCTGTCAAAGGTTGACTTGCTCTACAGACCTCAGTGCAAAATTATTTGCACAGCTCCCAAAAATCCAAGTGAAAACCTGGAGTGATGATTACCTATTGATACCTTGTGAAAACAAAACCCGGACAAAACAGCCTTGAAGAATTGTCCATGTCCTGGTCCCACGTTGGCCTCTCAGGTGTGCCTTGAAGTCCTTTGGAGCTTGGCATGATGGAATATGTGGTCAGTCTCAGAGTAGTCCTGGTGATGCCGGGTGTTGTGACGGTACTGCGCAGGGTACTAGTTGCCACGTAGCTGTGTACGTTTGGCCCATCGCCATGCGTCTGTGTGCCAGCCTGCATGGTTTGCTTATAGTTGGTGAGGCACAGACCTCATCTGAGGTACTGGTGAGGCTGATGCTCTGCAGAAATATGGTAAACTTCAGCATAGGGTGGCACAGCCAAGGGTTGGTTGCACTGCCAGCTACTCAGGCAATGAGTAGCTTCGCTTTCCTTTGCTCTCCCAGCCCCACACTTGCCTTACTGTGAGTCTTGCTGCATGGGGCTGGAGGAGCAGACACTGCTGCACCCCAGAATGTGTAGGCTCCTGGCTCCTGAGCAGCCTCCATGTGCTCCTGAGCAATGATGTGTCCCAGGCAGAAGGGAGAGGGGCAGGATGTGAGTGCTTTGTTGGGTGGAGTAGACCAGAAGAGCCAGGACTGGCCTTTCTGATGCAGACATGACTCCATCCCTCCAGATATCTGTACTCCTTAGACTCCTGGGCCTCACTTTCTTCTTGCATGACAAAGCATGAACCAGCCCCAAGCCCAGCAGCACGGCAAATGATAACTGCAGTTGAACAGTAGCACTCAGTGAAGAAGATCCACATCAGCTACAAAGTTTTATTGCCACCACTGTTGGCTACCCCAGAGCCCAGAACAGTAGAGACTTCTTTTGTCTGTCTTGGCGCAAGAGTAGGTCTTGCTCAGCACCTGTGAGAGCATGTCTTTGTCAACCCTGGAGCCAGGGCAGCTGCCAGTTGTGGAATACAGCAGGGAGATTTTGACATTAGATGATACCCAAATTCATGCTCAGTTCTTCTCTTTCTTGAAGGCCCTTCCATGCTTACATGCTCCCCTCCTCCATCTCACAGCCATTGTGCTCTACAGCTCTGCAGCATCCTAAAAACAGATCGACAAGAAGCATTGATCAGAGCTCAGGTTCAGGTGAACTTGGACCTGCAATGCAGCGCTGGATATGCTTCTCCACACATGAGACTGGACCCTGACTGTGGAGCCAACTGCTCCCCAGGGCGGGGAGAAGCAGCAAATCTGGACACAATATCCAGATATGGCCTTAGAGGTGCTGAATAGAGTGGAACTATCACTTCTTGACCTACTTGCTGAGAGGTGTCTGTTGCAGCCACATACCGCTTGTTGTTCAAGGCCTGGCTCATACCATATTAAAGGAAGGTAAATATGCTAAACTCTCTCTAAAAATACTGTTTGTTTTGTTTTGTTTTGTTTTACAACTGTTTTTTAATGACTGTAGCTGAACAGTGTTTTGACTAGCTGTAACTCCACCCCTCTCCATCATTCCTCTGTGGCACTTCACACATGTTTATGGCAGTCCCATCTCAGCTTGAGCCATTGCCTTGAGGATCTCTCATATCATCCTTCCATGGGTCAGACAGTTCATCACCTCCTTTGTGAGCAAGAAGCACCATCTCCACATCAGGGCTTGCTTCCAGCAGTAGCTTGTTTCTTCAGCTCCCTCGAAAAGCAGCATCTCCCCCCACCATGGTCTTCCTCTTGGTGCTAGGGGCTGGCGTGAAGCAGTTCCAAGGCTCTTTGTAACCATTTTCCAGGACACTATTCTCTTTTCAGCAGCTCTTCTGCCAAAGAGGATTGTCATCCACTCCTTCCTTGCAAGTAATCATCTTGCTGCTTTTCTTGAGTCTCTTCCTCAGACTGTTGTTTCTCATGTCTGTCACGGGTGGACCTCCCTGCAGTAGTACACTTGGATTCCCCAGGTTTCCCCAAGTAGCTGCACGTGTGGAGCCAAGCTCCTTCAGGAACTGTTCACACCTTCGCCCCAGCATAATCACCCCAGCTGAGCAAACTCTTTCTCCCCACAAGCACAGTGCTACTCCCCATCATCCTGCCTTTCAGGGGCTCCTGGGCTCACACACCATCCCACCTCATCCTGTCCCGCCCCATCCTTTAAAGAATTGGAGGGAATCACTGGGTGGCTGTCCTGAGGAACTGTCCTCCTAAGGGAGAAAAATCGAGTGCAGATGGGAACTGCAGACTGCAGGTTTGTGTGGTCCCATCTTGTGCAGGTCTATCTTGTGCTTCAGGAAAAACAAAACAAAACAAAACCTCTTGTAGTTTTTTCCAGAGTGTGTTTTAGAATAACCTCCTCTTCTCCCCTGCCTGTACTGGAATGGGAGATTTGGCAGGTAGGGACATCAGAGTGGAGTATCAACTCTGCCACTCTCATACGATTTAAAACAAGACAGGCTTGTTTTGTCCTCTTGGCAAGCTGATAGCAGCCTCTAACGCTTTCCTAGGAGAAGTGGAATTGCCGCTGTAGCTTTGCCATTACTAACTGATTCTCTAATTCACAGTGTCTTAAACACTGATGCGCAGAGCAGGAAGAATACAGCAACTTAGCAGGCAGGGACCACCCCAGTGATGAACACACTGAACTATCCTCTTCCTTTCTCTTTCTGTCAGGATTAGTCTGCACTTTCCTTTGCCCTCCCTCCTGGCAAATCACTCAGCCTCAATTCACTACAATTCACCAGCATTCGCCTGTGCAAAGTGCGTTCCTATGAACTAGTTCAGGCTGGTTGGAAGTGGCTAGTGCAGATTTGGTTGCATCCATCTGATGAGGCTGCAAGACCGAAGACTGTCTCAATGCTGTGTATGCCTGAGCTGCAAGGAGCCAGGGCACTCTGGCCACAGGAGCAGAGCTCAGTGCTGACAGCAGCCCCAGCTCTGCAGATCTCCACGGGCTTTGCAGCAGTGGGTGCAGCTCCTGCTGTGAATTGTCAACATGAGGGGCAGCAGCAGGCCTGCAGAGGGGGCAAGGTTTGGGCACGGCTGAGCCTATCTGCGCTGCAGTGCGGGTGTGCTGTTGTTTGCAGCAGGAAACTGCTTGTGTTTTCTCAGACATTTCCCAAAAATTTGGGGGCTGTTCATGCCCAAGCAGAGTGCAGAGTGCAAAGGAGTTGGTCCGGTGTGCAAACCTGTTCCCATGCTGAACCTAGCCTGACTTGCAAGCTGTCCAGCTTCCCAGACAATTATTTGCAAGAGGATTTAAATGAATTCCCTTCTCATCTGGGGCACATTGTGCTTTCTTTGCACTGAGGTAAATGGCTGCCCACAAAGCAGAGCTGTAAGGATGTAGTCACTCCTATCTGCAAGAAAATACACAGCGCACCTCCATATCTAATCCTCAGCATTACCCACAGTCTGTTAACACCTCTGTCACAGCACTGCCCTCAAATCATCCCAGATACACCCACACCAGCCTCCACCACACGCCTGCCAGGGCAAAGCACATACTTCCTTGGAGGCAGTAGAGCAAAACAGACAAGCTGGCAGAACATTTTTTTTTAATCAATACAAAAAAAAAAAAAAAAAAAAAAGCTCATGCAGATAGTAGAGGCATTTTCACAACTGTCTGATTTGAGCACAATCACTTTTTGCTTTGGGGCAATTTTTGGGAAAACTGTGGCTAGATTTTTAACTTTATCTCCCGGATTCTGGATTATCTATGCTAAAAACAAACAAACAAACAAAAACACCATGCTTTTGGTACCAAAATTTGCAAGAAATTGAGTATGAGCTGTTAGGACTTACAGGAAAGGCTGTCATTTTTCAGCCAGCCTGGGGCCAATGGGGTCCCTGCTGCCTGTGGAACAAGGGGGTTCTGGTGGCCCCAGGGGGGCCTGCTTCTGGCCACTGTTTCTGTGTACTTGGGAAGGTCAAGCAGTCTCGTGCCTGCAGGAGGACCTTCAGCTTAGCGTTTCCCCTCCTGCTACAGCCCATTTCCCTTCATGCAGCTCTGCATCTCACCAAGTCATTCTTTCCCCCTCTTCTTGGCATTGATGGAGACCAAAACACTCATTTTGCCATGGAAGTAGGGGCTGCAATTCTTAAACTTCTGGGCAGCCTAAATAAATCATGGAACAAACAGGTGCTACTGGCTGAGCCAGAGGTGCTGCTGGCCAGTGCCAGGGTTGGTCACAGAGCAAGCTCCACTCCCTGTCACACAGAAACCCCTTTGCCAGTTATGGGATCCATGTCCCCATTCCTCGAGCTCTTCAGGGCAGCAGGACACATGAACTGTGCCAAGGCACACCAGGGCATCCCAAACCTTTCTCATGTCTCAGTGCAGTGTTTCCATCCATCTCCTTGGGACATAATTTCAGGAAAGGGTGGGGCTTCTTTCAAGGCAAACCAGTGAGCAAAGATCAGCGTGATAAGCTCCAAAACTGAAAGGATCGTTAATGGAAGAAAAAGGCAGTTAGTGGTGAGGCTCACAGGCATTTTCTTTCTGCCTCCATGTCCCATGGTGCTTGGTGGCCGTGGCCCCACTGGCCTCATGCATGGCCAAGGCACCCAGCTACAGCCCTAGGGCTTGGGGCCACAGTTTCTGGCTGCTCCTTTAAGCTGGATGGTGACATGGGCAGCACTAGCAAGGAGTGTGTCTGGGTAGCCTTGACCAGCAGGAACTGGCCACGTGCCCAGGAAACCTGTCCTTTCCATTGGCTCCTCTGCTTGGCACCACCGCGCTGTTTGCCTTGTGCCACCGGGGAAAGTTCAAAATCCCTGGTGATAGTGGAGTGGCCAATGCATAGACAAGTCCTTAACTCTCTATGGGCCAGAGCTGTGGGGATGTGGGTCCTTCTCCAGCCCCCTGGGGCCATGGGTCAGGGCTGGGTGAGTGGCCCGCAGCCATGGCTCTCCCTGGGGATGGTGTCCCCCCTTGCACCCCTGTGGCTCAGAGCTCTAGCTCCCAGACATGTTCCTACATCAGTCTCTGGAGTTGTGGGGCACCTTGGGGGTCCCTGCGCCTTCTCCCAGCCCGAGCCAGAAGGCACAGGTAGCGCTTACCTCCCATACACAGAGACAGCTGGGGACAGCATGGAGCATTTTGCTATAGGTACTGCTGCCTGATTGGGACACCTGTATGTAACAGCAGCGATGTCTCCCTGTCGCCCAAAAAGCCACCTCACTCTGTGGGGCAGAGGGACAGGAGCACCCTGGAGTCTTAGCCACCATGTCTGGCAGTAGGTGGGTCTTGAGGGAAGCACCATGGGGATGTGGCTATGTCACTGGCTCTACTGCACTGAGCTCCTCCTCGCCAAGTCGCTCAGCCGTAGAGGGTGGGAGCCTTGCGGCCAGGACTGAGACAGTTTCTGCCATGGGACCGAGCTGAGTCAAGACATGGGAAGCAGATTTCAAGGCACAGTTAATGCAGTATTGGCCAGAGTCTTCATTAGAGGCTGCACAACAGAGCTTTCAGGAGTTTGAATAGGAAGTGTGCTGCTGCTTAAAGCATTGGTAGGGCCCAGCTCTCCTCCTCCAGCACCTCCCCGTGGACACCTGTCCCATCATCTGCAGGGTACATCCAAGGAGATGCAGCAACAGGGGAATATGCCCACACACACTCAAGCCCAGCCTTTACCTTTCCTCTTCTTTGCATGTATAGGGGATAAGAGGGACCTGAAGCAGCACTGAGATTTTCAATGGAGAAACTTTTAGCTGGAGAGGGACAGGAAGAACCGCAGCTGTGGCCTTTCACATGCACTGTGCTGTGTGTGTGAATGCTGCCCGTGGGGAGCAGCCCAGCCTTCATGAAGCTGTGGGTGAAGCTGTCATCACCCAGGGCCATGTGCTGGCAGGTGGGAGAGCAGGAAGAAGAGGAAAGGAAACAGTTGGGATCCCAAACCTGCGACAGAGAGGCTGGCTGGAGGATCAGGAGAGCCAGGCAAGAAGAGACCCTGGCCTCTCTCACAGGGCCCCATGGGACAGCATGACTTCGGGAACCTTTGTGCAGTGCAGTTGGGTGCACAGGAGGGTAATGGGTCCCTCAGATAGAAGGAAATGAGCTGCACTGCTGGCTTCATGAAAGGAAGCTTCCCACACTGCAGGCTGTGTGAGGGACCTCACCACCACCATGGAAAGCTGCACAACAAACACCGCTGCCTCCAGGAGCCTGGAAACATGGAAGGAGGGAGCTCAGGCTGGGCTGGGAGATAGGGTGAGGGGGTGCAGAGTGGCACCAGGTGTAGGGTTGGGTGGAAAAGGAGCCCATGGCAGTGCTGGGCTGAGGACAGGGCTGGTCCTGTCTCTGCCCCTCCTAGGGCAGAAGCGAGTGTCCCATAATGTCCTCAAGCTGCATGTCTTTCTGTCCCCAGACCCACACAGACAGCTGTCCCTGCCTGCCTTGCTGCCCATGCCTGATGCTGGCTGAAGGCAGAGTTTCCAAATCTTGCCTGGAGTTAAAAAGAGGCAAAAAAATAGCAGTCCCAATGCTGCGATGAGGCAAGAGCCACAGTAGCACTTGCTCCCAGTGACTTGGCTGGGTGGGCGACTTCCCTTCCTGTCCCCTGGGGGGCTAGAACACAGCTCGGGGAGGATGGGGTCCCACCTTGGAGCAATGTTTAGAGTCTCGGTCAGTGAATTCTCCTGTATGCTGTGCTTTAATCCCAGAGGCTCCAGAAGCCTAATGTGGGTCTGCAAAGCTCCTGACTTAGGCCTGTGCTGCTCTCAGTGAACAGGAGCTCAGGGTGCTCCTATGGTGCTCCGATGGGTCCCTAGCAAGAAGCCTGCAACAGAGCTGTGAAGCTGAGCCACATGGCTGTGCCTGCTCCCAGACCTGCTGGCAGCCCTCAGTCTGTCTCAAGGCATGGCCTCCTTGTAAGGCCCCAAAATGGGAGGGCTCTAGCATGGTTCCCTTCAGCCTCTCTTTTGCCTGGCATTTTAGTGGGAAGCTGGTGTCGCCAAAGTGGAAGAATTTCAAGGGGCAGCGGCTGCTTTGCCGGGATAAAATCCGTCTCAACAATGCTATCTGGAGAGCATGGTACATCCAATGTGAGTATGGGGCCAGACCCTGCTGCCCATGTCGAGTGCTGGGTAATGCCATGTGGGGTGGGGCTGATGCTGGGGCAGCAGAGCCACAGCAGGCACCCAGCCCTAGAGTGTGCCGGCTCCCTCCCCTGTGCAGGGAGGAGGCTGTGGGCAAAGCTGGCTGTTTTCCCTGGACAGATGTAGAGCAGAGGAAGAACCCCATGTGTGGTTTCATCACCCCCCTGGAAGGATCAGAGGCTGACGAGCATCGAAAACCAGAGGTAGGGTGTGGCCCCTCATTTCTCCTGTAGCCAGGAGCAGGTTGGGGGGGGGTGGGGGTTGTGCAGCTGGGAGATGGGGACATCACAGGAGGTAGAGCCCCCATCCCAGCTTGCTGTCTTTGCAAGATTTGCTGGGGAAGGCATTTATGATGTGGCCCAAGGAACCCAGTCCCATCTGTGGGGGGCCTGGGGTAGGCAGGGGCTGACTGTGGGGTGCCAAGCTGGGGGATCAGCTCCCAGGGTGCCGCATGGCAGTGATGCCCCAGTACTGTCCACTCCCGCAGGCTGTCGTGCTGGAGGGCAATTACTGGAAACGCCGCATTGAGGTGGTAATGAGGGAGTACCACAAGTGGAGGATCTACTACAAGAAGCGGGTGAGTGGCCCTGTCCCTGCTGCTCCCTGCCCCAGTGCGACGATGGTGGGACAGGATAGCAGCATTCCTGGTGCAGAGACGTGGCTGCCTGGGAGCTGGCCAATGGTTGCCCCATGGTGATGGTGGAGGGGATTTGGCAGGGTCCCGTCCCTGGCTGCCCATGGTGCTGTGGCATACTCTCGCAGTCTGACCTGAGCTGGTTCTGCCTTGCCTGCTGCATGGCCTGGGGCTGGGCTTGGCAGCGCACCTGCAGTGCACGTGCTGGGGTGGGACAAGCGGCGCTCACTGCATCACCCTGGCTGGGCCATGATTCGCTGGCAGCAGCGGCTCAGCCAGGCAGCACGTGCCAGCAGGCCGGCTGGCCCAGTGTCACCCTGAGAGTCACTCCCGGGCAGAATAATCTAGCGGTGGCCCGGGTGGCACCGGCCTTGGCCACCCGCCATGCAGGGAGGAGCATGATGCCAGCCTCCTCCCCAGAAACTCGCTCAGCCTGAAAAAGGCCAGGGTGCCACGGGAGGCAGTGTGCAGGCAGCCTCACACCGCCACGCACCTCTCCACCAGCCTCACTGCTGTCCTGTGCAGTAAAGGCAGATGTGAAGGGGTGGTGGCCAGGGCCAGACCCTAGAGCAGGCAGTGCGCGTGGTCCTGCTCGCTGGCAGAAAGTGACTGAGGGGTAGGACCCACTGCCCTCGCTGCCCTGCCCTGGATCTGCCCGCACCCCAGCTGTCACCTTCTTCTCCTTCCAGCTCCGAAAGTCCAGCCGGGAGGGAGAGCTCTCCAGCCCAAAGCAGGTGAGTCTTCTGGGGAAGGATGGGCAGTGGGGAGAGGGGCATGATGTGGAGCCCTGCGCCAGGCAGCTCTGGAAAAGCATAGTTGAAAGCCCCCTGTCCCTGATGTCTGTGGTGGCCACTGGATGGGAGGAAGCTGGGATGCTGATTCACCCTCCAGAAGCACCAGTGTGCCAGGCTGGAGGCCCTGGGATGAGGGAGGCTGTAGTTGTCTGGGAACTGCCGGGGCAGCAGCCAGGGAGGCAGGCATGGGCCCTGCCTGAAGGAGGTGCCCACCAGCTCCTTTTCTCCATCTCACCCAGGACGAGGATGCCTGGAGACCAACGGAGAAATGGTGCAACCAGCTCTTCTGCAACGTGGTGCCCATGCTGCTTGGGAACGAGGAAGAGGAGCTGGGGGGCCGGCAGCACTTCGACTTGGACACCTTCCTATCAGACATCTCTGACACACTCTTCACCATGACACAGACACCCAGCACCCACCAGGCACTCCCAGAGGATGGTAGGTGCCCCAAGCCATGCTGGAATTGGAAGAGGAGGTCCAGGCAGACAGCATGCCCAAGGCAGATCTCTGCCTCTTGGCTTCAAACTGAGAGCTGCTGCCTTTGGCAGACAGGGCCCCCACCAGTGCTGGACAACCCCAACACTGCTGCTGCCCTGGAAACACAGAGCTCCCAGTGGCTGCACGTGCTGTCCAGGGCAAGATGGGCTGTGGTGCCACAGGTAGCTGCCAGGGAGGCCAGGACTCACCTCATACCAGACTCCATGGCAGCACTGCCAGTCTGGGACTGCTCCTCATTGTCCCTACTGGCCCGGTTCCAGGCAGCTCCTGCAGCACCAGCCAGCGCCAGCTCCTGCACTTGGATCAGCTGTTTTTTCTCCTCTTTCATGGAGGGTTTTGGGTGGATGAGGCCCCAGACGTGCTGGTGGGCAGTATGGTGGGATAGGATGGCCCTGGAGGCTGGGTTCCGGCAGGGAGAGAACCCATCTGGCTGGCTTTGCTATGCTGTGGGGCAAGGTGCAGCAATGCAGGGTGACAATGGTGTGTTGGCAGTGGCAATAGGGCAGGTTCGAGGACAGCCCTGGGGGACGGAGGACACGGGATGATTGGGGGTGCAGTGCCCTAATGCTGTATCTCTGCTCTTCCAGCATATATTGGGAATGCCGACATGATCCAGCCAGACTTGGCTCCCCTGCAGCCCAGCCTGGATGATACCATGGAGATCTCAGGTAAGAGCCAGCCTGGATGCAGAACCACATCCATACAGCCTGGTGCACTGTGCACACCATGGCAGCCCAAAGTGAATGTGAGAAGTCTGGCCAGGACCAAGAGCTGATGGGGCCAGAAAGTGCTGAATATAGAAAGAGCAGCAAGAAAGGGCTGGAGTGCCCTGGTCTGCTGTAGCAGCTGAGGAGGAGCTTGGCCAAGAGCTGGTGAAAGGGACTTCTACAGAGTGTCTTTCCAGGTGTATGAAAACACATGAATTTGGCTGCAGACAGAGGAAGGACAATTGTCAAAGCAAAAGAAAAAAAAAAAGAGGAAACCTCTAGAGAGCAGGTTCTGTGCTGCCACGTCCCGCTCCTCAGCCCTCTCTTGCTGGCCAGCCCCAGGCACTGCAGCCTGCATTGGAGCTGGGCCCCTATGATGGGCTGTGCTACATCCCTTGAGGACATCCCTGCCAGGTTGGCCCCAAAAAACAAAACTGCCACTGGTGTCCAGGACAAACAGCTGGGGCAACAGGGCTGCTGAGGAGGATGAGTGAGCAATGTCAGCCTCTTCCCATGGGATCAGTGCTGCCAGTCATGGTCTGCCTGCGACACAGAACATGGTGCACTCCTTTGTAGCAGTACAGTGTCTGTGAGCACTAGTTGAGCACTAGTTGAGCACTCTAGTGAGCACTAGAGTATCAGCTGGGACATGTTCTGGTCCCATCTGTGCTGTGCTGTGTACCCATGGGTGGTGCAAGGGCCAGGCACTGCTGGCACACACTGCACCAGAGACCACCTCTGCCCTTGAGTGTGCTGAAGCCAGTAGCCTAGGAGCACTTTCTAGGGGGGGCAGCTGATGTGGCCTGGTGGCTGCAGGCCTCCCATATAGCTGGTGGCCTCAGACAGCACCAGCATGTCTGGACCCCTCGGTGTGTCTTTCAGTGCCCTGTGAATGGAGCCTGGCTGGGACTCCTGGAGCTCCCTGGCCAGCCTCTCTATTTCCTCCTTCCCTCCACTGGAGGAAACAAAGTGGCTTGCACCATACAGCTGTGGGCTGATGCAAGACCAGATGCTGACGGGGAGCAGAGGCAGCAGTGGGCACCCTCATGTGCCGGGGCAGGTGGTGGGATGCCCCAGGGGTAGATGGGTTGGGAGAGCTCTTGCCAGCCCTTCCAGCACATTCGCTCCATGTATCCCATTGGGGTGAGCCATGCTGGGAAAAGGGTCTGTCCTCACTGCTAGCCGTTGGCCTGTCCCTGGGTGCCCCTGGTGGGCACCAGTTGCTGGGTGGTGGGACAGCTCCGAAGGGGTCAATAACACTTGCCATTCCACAAGGAGGTCCTGCATGGCATTGGAAGGCTGCACTGACCCCTTTTAAGCAGCACCTCGCAGCAGTGGTGTCACAACAGCAGCCCCAGTGCCTCTTTTTCATGGGCCACACTGTCATCTATGCTGCTGTTGTGCACCCAGTGCGGCCCAGCCTCATGATCAGCAGGAATTGTCAAGTGTCACTATGGTACCCATCTGAAGCAACACATTTCTATGAACAGTCAAATTGTCTTTCTTTTCCTGGGGTAGAGGCCTGCATTTTACTCCAGGATGCTGCCTGCAAATGGGCTGGGTCTTACCACAAGCCACTAAATGGCAGGAAAGCCTCCGCACCAGGATGTGTGAGTGTGCCAGGGAGCAGAGAGGAGTGCGCACCTCAGGCTGGGCTGGGAGTCTGAACTTGTATTAGGCAGCACAGCTGGGGTGTGCAGGACCCTAAGTGTGACCACAGGGCCATGGGGTGAGTAGGGAGAGGATGTGGTGGTCCTTTTCCAGGAAGGGGAGGCTGATGCTGAAAGCTGGGTGCCGGGTGCCAGAGTAGCAAGTGCCAGTCAGCTTAGGACCCAGGGCTGCATTTGCAGTGTGTGTGATGGCTGATGGTGGCTTGAGCAGGGATCCCCCGGCAGCCTTGTGCAGAGCAGCATGGTGTAAGCGTGTGGGGTGGGCACCACAACAGCCCTATTGGGGCTGTGCCCAGTCTACACATCTCATGAACAAGGCAAGTGGAGCAGAGATGGGGGCTCAGGACTCCTCAAGGGTCACAGGACTGTCACTGTGCCTGGTGGCTGTCATAGAGCTCAGTGCCTGTCAGTCAGCAAGTGCAAGCCAATCCCCAAATGAGGAACCACCTCATGTCCCCAGCGGGTGCCGGAGCATGGTGTGGGGCAGATGGAGAAGTCCTGATGGCAGAGGCAAGGGAGCAACCCGGTGCGGTGCCTGAGCTCTGCTGGCACCGCACTCCAGGTAGGACCTGCTCTGGGTACTGGGTTACAGGGGCCAAGTTGGCCAGCTCGTGGGGTGGCATCACCTTGCAGTACCGCAGGGCTTGTCTGGAGCCCAGGGTCAGTGCTGGAGGGTTCTGTATTTGGGAACAGGCTCTGTAACCTGGATCCCTTTGGAGAGCAGCTCCAGGATTGAGAATGATGCCAAAGACTTAGTGTGCTGACCACACAGGCTCTTGTCCACCAAGCAGCAGTGTGTCCTGGACACACTGCACAGCCCGTGAGCAGATTAGATCAATGTGACAGTGGAGAGGAGCATGGGCGAGAGCTACAGGGTGGGTAAGGGGCAGGAGAAGGGGAGGACAGAACGCCCAGGAGGTTGCCAGCTGCTGTGCTGCGCAGGATCCACCATCCATCCTGGCAACACAGTGAGAGGCACAAGAGGAATCGAATCTGCAGTGCTGGGCACCAGAAATGCCTATAAATACACACAGAGCTGCGGTGCTGGTGGCAGGGAACAGCTTGGCATGGGCACAGAGAAGGGCCAGAGGCAGCAAGGAGCTGGGTGCTGCACCTTGGGGAATGCTGAGACCCTGCCTGGCCATGCCAGAGCCCACACCATGTGCTGGCCCTGGAGGGGTAGGAGTGGCTCTGCTGTGCTCCCAGGCATTTGCCATGCCCCTGGCCTCGGTCCAGGTGGGACTGGGAACAGGGTCTGAGGAGAATGTGCTGCAGCCTCTGAGGACAGTGGGGCCATAAGGACCTGAGCACCTCAGAAGCCATTTCCATCATGAGGGCTCTGGTGCCGACAGCAGCCAACTCTGTCTTGAAACAACCTGTAGCAGTGGGCTGGGAAGAAGTGGAGTGTGAATGTTGCTGCCCATCCCTGCAAGAGACATGTAGAAAAATGCTGTCCCCAGCCTCGGGTACGTGGGCTGCAGCTCCTCTCTGCAGGGCTCATGGGGAAGGGGCAGAGTCAAGGAGAGCAGGGCACCTGCCCTGTGTCACACCAGTGTTACCCTCAGCCAACAGTGTGCTGTGCGGTATGGCACTGCTGGGATTGCCACGGCATCCCTCTCTGCTGGCATTTCTTCCTCCAGTGTAGACTCTAAAGGGTCTCAGGCCCAGAGGTTTTGCCTCTCCCAGTGAGGACACTCCAGGCACTGGAGCCTGTGCCAGAGCTCAGAGGAGTCATTGCAGGTCTCCTGGTGCCCAGAGCACAGCTGGGCAAGCTGGGCAGGCAGGGTCAGCCTGGTTGTTCTTGAACTGGCTCTGCTGTCAGCAGCATGAGGGCCTGAAGGCAGAGGTGCCCATGTCAGCTGAGGATTTGGCCCTGGGCTGGAGTTGCTCCCCAGCAGAGATATGGGTGCTTGTGTACTGGACCAGCTGCTTGGATGCAGAACCTGTGCCACAGGCTGTAGGGCAGCTGCTTGCAAGCCTGTCCAGTGCTCCTGCTCCACCTTACAGGGAAACGTACATCCAGCAGCCCCATCCCCACCCCCTAGTCATCCTCACTGGGGAAAAACCCTCCTGGTGGTCATGTTTGGTCCAGTGCTGGCACAGGCAATGGTAGCCCCAGCACAGAGCTGAAGTGTGTGTGGGGCTGATGTGCCCATGGAGCGTGTTTAACTGGGGAGGTGATTGCCCCAGGCATAACGCCAGTGCTTTGTGCCGTGGTGTCTGGGCCTGCGGAAGAAGCAGGGTTGTGGAAAGGAGACAGGAAGGGAGAGGGAGTCGCAGCAAGGTCACGGGGCTCGGCTTCGGGAAGGCCATGGGATGTGGTTAGCCACAGGCTGCACGCAAGGCAGCACCAGACCAGAGATGCAAATGCTTGCCTCAACCCCAGCAGGACTGTGTCGCATGGCTCAGGGACAGTGCGACCTGATCCTCTGAGTTATGTTGTGTTGGCAGTGAGACCAGCTCCACAGCTGCCCCACAGCCTGGGTGGCATGGTCCCAGCCACCAGGGCTGGCTCAAGAGGAGTGGGAAGGGCCCAAACCCCCAGGGAGTAGCTGGAACATGCAGCTCTCAGCTGGGTGTCAGGGACAGGGATGGGGTCCCCACCCCTTGGTGGCGTCCTTGGGTGGGTTTTCCTGTCCCAGTGCCTGTGGCAAGGCTGGGCCTAGGCGCGTGAGTTGCTTCTTCCCTCTCACCATGTGAAACTCCAGTGTTTCACAACAAGGGCACCAAATCTGCCCATGGAGCCAGCAGCTGTCATGCCCCCCCAAGGTGAAGGTGAAACAGGCAAATCTGCACCAGCACCAGGCATGGAGTCTCTCTCCAGTGTGCCCTGGGCTTGTCACCCCTCTCCAGGAGCAGCTCATGGCAGCAGGAGCACTCCTCTGGGCCCTCACTGCCCATCACCACCTCTCCACTTTGTCCCGCAGATATTTTCATCAGCCATCGGCCATTGCCTGCACAGACACAACTGGGCTACCAGGAGCCACCCTGTTTTGTGACTATGGCTGAGCCCCTCTATGTTGGCGGAGGGGCCGTGCCTACCAGCCCCAATGCCCTGCTCCCTCCCAGCACCCTTCTCCAGGTGAGCATGACCCCAGTTCATGGCCCATGGCTGCCAGTGTCCAAGCCACCCCTCCTGACATGTCCCTATTTCCCACAGCCTGGCGGTGCCTCCCAGCTCAGCCTCCATGGTGCCTTCCTCAGCTCCGAGCAACCCCCGCCACCCCTGGCCCCCGAGCCCCCTGCTGCGGTTCCTGGCAGCCTCAGCCCCCAGCTCAAACACAAGCCCTTGCTGCAGTACAACTTTCCTGGCAAGTGCGTCAGCATGGAGCCGCTTGGCCTCCCCTACACCCCCCCCAGCCCATCCCCTGGGCCCCCACTGCTGGGCCCAGAGCCCTCATTTTCCCCCACCTCCGCCCCCCGCTCCAAGTTTCCCTACACTGCCTCACCCAGCCCCTCACTCCTTGCCCACCCTGCGTCCCCACTCTCCACACCATGCTTTGCCCAGCACACCCCAGGCATAGGCTATGCTGTAGACATGGTGCCCCCAGAGTACCCTGGCCCAGCTGCCCCCCAGCACCTGCCCCACACCACACCGGGCAGCCCCAGGTTTGCCACCCCAAAAGGGCCATCCCCTGGCGGGAGCGGGCGGTCGAAGGCAAAGACTGGCAGCACCAAGGCGAAGAGGCTGCCAGGACCCTCCATACCGCCACACCTGGCTGTGCCCAACCCCTGCCTGACCCAGCTGCTGACCACAGGTGAGGGGCTGCAGGAGACCCTTGGGGGGGGTTGCAGGGTTGGGGTGAGTCAGTGGTGGGTGGGGGTGCTTGGGGGTGTTGGGAGAGGGGGGCTCTGCTTCCTCCCTGGGATTTGGATGCTGGGGATGCGGAACTGGGTGTGTGGCTGTCCCCATGGTGAGGCAGGGAGTGGGCAAGCAGTGCCAAGCCCATAGGCAAGGACACATGGGTGAGCCGCCCCGCCCTTTGCTCCTGGGATGGAGACAGGGACCAGTTGGCTCCAGGGCTTGACCACCAGCACTGGTGCAAAGTCCCTGTGTCCCCAGCCTGTTGTCTACAGCCTACTTGGTGTGAAAGGGCTGAGGGGACGGCTGTGTCTGCTCACCCTGCTGCCCATGTGTGTGATGGGACAGGTGCCACGGAGGATGTTTTGTCCGTTCCTTTGTTTGGCCAAAACTTGCTGGGGGTATGTGACTGCACGGAGGCTCCCAGGCTCACAACACATGAGGATTTAAGGGGCTGGCTGTAGCCTAGCGGTTGCGCTGCTCGCCTCCCCCTTAGTGGCATGCTGGGATTGTAGGTTCAAGCTACACCCTAGGATGCCTTGCGGGCTTCTTTTTTGTAGGATGATGGTTGGACCAGATGATCTCAAAGGTCTTTTACAACCTTAATGATTCTATGATCCTATAATTCTATAGAATGTCCCCAATGCAGGGAGCAAAGGCACCTCTCTCCAGTGTCTGCTTCAGTCTTCCCTGGAGCAGATGGGCAGCGAAAGGGCTGCAGCAATGTTGGTGCTCAGGGCTGGTACCCCCATGGGGCAGGAAAAGTTCACCCAAGCACTGGCAGCCTGACGCAGAAGCACCCTTCTAATCCCCTCTCTCTAGCAGCCAAGCAGGAGCCAGCCCTGGATACCTCGCCTGCTCATGGTCCGTCACTCCTGCCTGCATCCCCTGTCTCCCCGGTAAGCACTAGCATACCCCTTTACCAGTTGCCCCCTCTCCCCCTTCCAGGTTGAGAATTGCCCTTCTGGTTGCTGGGGAATGGGTAGGGCCACCACATAGCAGGTGGAGAGAAGGGGGCTTCACGGGGACCCCATTGCAAAATGGAGCTGGATGCAGATGGGGCATGTGGCTGGGGTGCCAAGGAGGCTTAGGGCAGCACTGGGTGGGAGTCACCCAAGCATCTTTTCAGGTAAAAGAAACTGGGCAGAGCTCGCAAACATCTCACTTGCAAGGTCCCTGCAGGTCTCCCTGCAGTGTTTGGCCGTTAGTGCTGGGGCACTGACCAACCAGAGGGGCTCTGTGCTGCGGGTGAGGTTTGGTCCCTGATGCACACAGGGCACTGGCCTCCAACCGCTTGCTTCCTTCTACCTTCTCTCAGCAGCAGAGCAGTGTCCCTGACGTCCCTGTCGCCTTCCTGTCCAGAGTGGCCCAGCTGAGCCCAGGGCTGTCTCCTGGCTCCAGCCCTTCCCAGGCAGTGCCAGTGCCAGTGATGCTGGCGGGTGCTGCGCCAGGGCCGCTGCTGGTCCCCAAGGTGGAGCGGCTGTCCCCCACATCATCTTGCGGTGAGTCTGGGCACCCCAAGGAGTGGGGTGACTGGGAACTCCCCCAGGGTACCCTGTTTCCTGCAGGCAGCCTGGGCCAAACACAAATTGCTTCTGGGAAAAAATAATTTCTGCTTTGATTCCAGCTTTTTGCAGTTACCTATCTGAGTAAGAACAACTTCTTTCTGCTGAGGAGGGCACAGACCTTTTTATCTGGCTCTTTCTCCAGGAAAAAACAAAACAAAACAAAACAAAACAAAACAAAACAAAACAAACAAACAAAAAAAAAACAGAAAGAGGAAAAGACAAAAGCAGAAAAAAGTCAGAGTGTGGCTTTGAAAACCCAGAGCTTGGTTTTTGAGTGGGAAGCACCCTGCTTTCACCCACAGAAACCAGAGTGGGGGCTGGAAAACCGGCTCCCATGTCATGTCCAGTTTCAGTTTGGTGCTGCAAATCACAGCCTTACTGCCTTTAGGACTCTATCCTGGTGGTTCCCACCCAAAGAAACATTGGGAATTTAAAATATCACTTACCACATGTTCCCATTTTCTGAGCAGTTGTAAAATGAATGTGATTTGGACAAAGACAGGACAATAAAAGGTTGGGAACTGGATCATCAGCTGAGGGGGTAGCTGCCCTGGAGCCAGGGCAATGCTGCAGATTGCTCCCCACTGCCCATCCCAGCGCAGGACCCTGGTGTCAGCCTGTCTTCCCTAAGCATCCTCTTTTATTATCCAGGCAGTGACTGGCCCAAGCCCAGACAGGCCTCCTTGGGACCCAATGCAGGGCTCAGCACTGGCATCTCCCTGCATCACCCCACATCCCGTAGGGGCAGACCTGAGTCCAGCAAGGTATGGCAAGAGCAAGCGCTGCCTTCTTTACGGGGGCAGCATCTCCATGTGCACCCCCTTCCCTGCTGCCCAACCAAATTCACCCCCACCCTCACTGCAAGCTTTGGGTCAGCCCATATCCAGTGTGGCAGGAGGCCCAGGGCCACCTCCGCTGCCAGGAGGTGCCTGACAGTGCTGGCCCACAGATAGAAAGCCGGCGTATCACACACATCTCTGCTGAGCAGAAGAGACGCTTCAACATCAAGCTGGGCTTTGACACACTGCACAGCCTGGTGAGCACGCTGAGCACCCAGCCCAGCATCAAGGTAAGTGTGCAGGACAGAGCAGACCAGTTGGCCAGCTCTGGGCACGCAGGGGCACAGGGCATCTCCTGGAGATCGTGTGCCCCCAGGCTGCACCAGTATGCATGGAGTTGCGTACTGGCAGGTTGCCTCAGATCTGCAGCCTGTTGCAGAGACTTCCAAGGCTTGGCAGTGGGGCGCACAAGACCTCATGCCTTTTGCTGCCTCAGCCCTGCTCTCCTGCAGGTCAGCAAGGCCACCACCTTGCAGAAGACAGCTGAGTACATATGCAAGCTGCAGCAGGAGCGGGCAGCCCTCCAGGATGAGGCACAGCGGCTGCGGGAGCAGATCGAGGAGCTCAACAGCTCAATCAAGTAGGGAGACACAGCCAGGGGAGGTGGGAGGGAGCTGCTACCTGTGTTGGGGCAGCAAGGCAGGGCAAGCGGCAGTGCCATAGCCAGCAGCCGCAGCAAATCTTCTGAGCACCTCCATGGACCTCCATTTGTCTGTGTCCCCCTCCCCCCCGCCTCAAACCCTACCTGGGGGATTTGCTCAAGAAGTAGAGCTGTGTGGGACGAGTGTGTGGGCACATGCCCCACCACTACCCTGAGAGCAGGACAGTACCAGCTCTAAACAGGCAGAGCTGCTGAGCCCTGCTGAGAGCTGATGGCCTGCTGGAGCCTCTCCCTACAGGGTGGCTGCCACAACTCCCAGCCTCCTGACTGCAGACTCATACTGCTGCTTGTGCACCACAGCCTGTGCCAGGAGCAGCTGCCAGCCACAGGGGTGCCCATCACACGCCAGCGCTTCGACCAGATGCGCAGCATGTTCGACGAGTACATCCGCTCCTCCACACTGCAAAACTGGAAGTTCTGGATCGTATCCTTTGGGGCTGGTGCCTGTTCTTGGCTCTGCTCCCTCCACCAAACACTGGGTCCGCTGGTCTGCCCACTCAACCCACTGCTATGTCCCTCCGGCTCAAGAGGCTCTGGGGATGATGCATGGTGGGAGCCCATTGAGATGCTGTGGCTAAGGGGAAGCTTCTTTTACAAGGGAGTGAACAAAGTAGGAATAAATGATCAGTCCCTGGGGAAAAGGGAGGTCACCAGTGGAGCTGAGCTCACTGTTGCCATGCAGGGAAGAGCTCCTGGTGACCGGAAGAAAGGACCAGGCACAAACCTGGTGACATGAGGACTTCACCTTGGTGGCCAGTATAGCACACCCTGGAAACCAAGTTGTGCCCATGCCTGGGACACAAGTCTGGACTCCACACAGTGGAAAGGACAAAGAGGGCCAAAGGCCAAGGAGTGGCAGACAGGATGGTCAAAGACCTGGGCCAGCTTCTTCATGAATGGGGATTAGACACACTGAGACCATCAAGTCTGCAGAGACCATGAGTTCTGCCAACTCCCGGGTAGCAGAAGCATCCAGGGCAAAGCAGAGGTGGTCCCTGACACGGACTGGGAGAGGGCTTTGTGATTCCTTCCACACAACAGTAGGGATCCTAAGGCTGACATGGGCATGCTCATGGTGGAGGAGGTGCCTCCAGTGGATTACTACACACACATTCACTAGCCCCCGGTGTTGTTCCCTGAAGCTGGGTATAGCTTGGGAAGCACATGTGCTGGTGTCATGCTCTGCTTTTGGGCACCTGCAGAGAACACAGCACAAGCCAACTCCTTGATCTGGTCTGGAAGAGCTGCGATGCAGATTGTGCAGCTCTCCTGTTGCCTGCCCTTGGCTGTGTGGTGCAGGCCATAAGCTGGACCTGGCTCCCCGGGGCGCCCACATGCCAGGGCTGCAGTGCTGCAGCACCTGTCCTGGCGGGCTGGTTGGGATGGTGGTGCTGGGCCCTTTCCTGGTCCACAGAATGGTCCTGCTGACACTCGCATCCCTGTCACCCCAGCGGGAAGCCTGTCCTGCCGCCTGTGGGAGGATGCTACCCACACCAGGAGCTGGTGGGTGGGAGACCATGACCAAGCCGGCCCTTAACTCCTCCGCTCCCCTCAGTTCAGCATCATCATCCGGCCCCTCTTCGAGTCTTTCAACGGCATGGTGTCCACAGCCAGCATGGAGAGCCTCACCCAGACCTCTCTCGCCTGGCTGGACCAGCACTGCTCTCTCCCAGCGCTTCGGCCCAGTAGGTAGCCCCGTCCTCGCCCGGCGCCCCAGCGGCAGGGCCGGCCAGGTGGCCCGCACCGACCGGCTCTGCAGCTCCGGGGGGACAACCAGAGAGAAAGCGGCCGGGGCACGCTGGGGCCGAGGCTGCGACACACGCGGCACCTCCGCACGGGAGGGCGGCGTGCCCTGACGAGCCCCGCGTCTCCCCGCAGCCGTCCTGAGCTCCCTGCGGCAGCTGAGCATCTCCACCTCCATCCTGAGCGACCCGGCGCGCATCCCCGAGCAGGCGACGCGGGCAGTGACCGGGCCGCCCCGCGGCAGCTCCTCATAGCCGCCCCGGGGCTGCCGCGCGGGCCCAGCCTGAGGCCGACCGAACGCCCACCGACGGCAGCGGGGAGCCTCCAGCGGGGCTGCGGGGGCGATGGCGGGCGGGGGGGGGGGGGGGGGCGTCCGCGTGCCGGGGCGATAAAGGAGCGCGTGCAGCACAGCGCAGAGCCTCTTCCTACCGCGGGGCGGGGCGGGCACAAGGGGCGGGGCCAATCCGCGGGGTGGGAGGGGGCGGGGCCAGGCAGCGGGACGGAAGGGGCGGGGCGGGGCCAGGCAGCGCGGCGGGAGGGGGCGGGAGGGGGCGGGAGGGGGCGGGAGGGGGCGGGAGGGGGCGGGAGGGGGCGGGAGGGGGCGGGAGGGGGCGGGAGGGGGCGGGAGGGGGCGGGAGGGGGCGGGAGGGGGCGGGAGGGGGCGGGAGGGGGCGGGGCGCGCCTCAGCCTCTGTCGCCGTCCGGCGCAGGCGCACTGGGCCCCGCCACGCGCGGTGGGGCGGGAGGATGGAGCCGGCGGCGCTGACGGGGTGGGGGCCGTTGGGGGCCCTGGTCCTGGTCCTGGTCCTGGTCCCGGTCCTGGTCCCGCTGCTGGCGGCCGCTCTTCGTCGCGCCGCCCCGCGGGGGCTGCCCGCCGCGCCGCCAGCTGGTGAGTACCGCGGGGGGCTGAGCTGGGCGGCGTTGCCCCCGTAGACTCCCTGCCCGCTGATTCGCCGCTCCTCCCAGGCCCCGGGGCCAGCAGCGCTGCCGCCGCCAGGCCGGAGGGCCTCAGGAAGGCGAAGTTGCCGGCGCGGGCCCGCAGGGACAAGCCGCAGCCGCACAGCTTCACGCACCGGCTCCTGGTCGCCGCCCTCAAGGTACCTTGCCGTCCCCGCAGCGGCGCTGCCGGGCGCCTCTTGCTCTCTTTCTCCTGACCGCGCGCTCTCCGCAGGGCCACAGCGGCTCCGTGTCCTGCCTGGACTTCAGCAGCAGCGGCAAGTACCTGGCGTCGTGTGCTGACGACCGCACCGTCCGCCTGTGGAGCACCCGTGACTTCACAGCACGCGAGCACCGGTGTCTGCGTGCCAACGTGGAGCTGGACCACGCTGAGCTTGTCCGCTTCAGTCCAGACTGCAGGTGGGGCCAGGCCTCCCTGCACCTCAGCTCTGCCCAGCCTAGGGACTGTGAGAGGTGCTGCTGCACCCCAAGGCCCCGCGGATGGAGCTGCCAGACACATGACCCGAGCCCTGGTTGAAGTCAGGGCTGCATCACCTGGGCTGCAAGGAGGCTGTACCCCTCTAAGAAGTCTTGCAGGGTTTTGACGGTACCACTGATCTGTGGCTTCTCCCGAAAGCAGCTGGCACTTCAGCACGGTGCTTGGGGCATATATCCCAATGTCCAACTTGCTGCCCCTGTGGGAGGTGCTTGTTAAGATCTCTGTCTGCAAGCCAGCTTGAAGTGCTAGGCCTCTCTGGAGAACGGGGGTGAGAGCTCTTGCTGCCTGGGGAGGTTGCTTGAAAAGCCTGCCTTGGCATTTTGCAAAGTGGCCTCCTTTAGAGACAGGAAAGGATCTGGTTTCCAGGTGTTGTTTTCCATTCAGTGTTGCAATTGAGCTAACACAGGGAGAACTTGGTACCCTCATAAAACAAAGCTTTTTATCTGTCACTGTGTATCCCTTTCTCCAGGTGTCACTGAATGACCTATTAACTTACCTTATAGATAGACTGAACTGAGGTATCTTGTTTCTTAATGGTTCAGAGTGACATGTCCTTCCACTTAGGGCATTCATTGTCTGGCTGGCAAATGGCGAGACTATTCGTGTCTACAAAATGACTAAGAAGGATGATGGCACCTTCACCTTCACTGCGACTTCTGAGGACTTCCCAAAGAAACACAAAGCTCCTGTCATCAATATAGGAATTGCAGAGACAGGTATGGTGATGACAATCTGCTTGCTTGTCAAGGCTCTCCAGATCTGCTTTGATTTTCCTTTAAAGCAATGGCTGCTGGGTTTAAAGTGTTAGGGTTTTTGGCTTAATTAAGACCCACTTGATTCTCTGTGTTCTTCCAGATGTTATTTTTTAGCCTTTGTTTACTAGTAAGTAAATAGGAAGGCATAGGTTGCAAAGAAACAATTTTCATGTAAACACAGTATTACCTCCCTGATACACACAATCTTTTTGCAACAGTATCCTTGAAAATCTAAATTAAGAGGTCTTGTCTCAATATTGAGAGCATTTCTGTTCTCTGTCTCACCTGTCTCTTTAACCAGTCAGAAATCTCCCCAGTAAGTTCATAGATTAGGAAGAGTAGGATCTATCTTGGACTTCTCGGATTTTTCAGACCAGAGCCTGGAAGGGAGTTTGTTAGCAGTGAGGGAACTGATGGATGGTTCAGGTATGTGACAATGGGCAGTTGAAAGTGGGTAGATACAAGTTCTCCTCTGCAATAGAAGAGCAGAGAAAATGGTAACTGAGGCCCTTGTTCAGCTGCAGAAGTGAAAATGGAAATGGGTTGGAAAGGTCCTGGGGTGAGAAGCACGCAGCATTGCCAGCTGACAGCTGCTGAAGCCACAGGTTTGAGCATTAAGTTATTAACCAGGAGTTAAGCCTTCTGACACTGCTTTTCACTCTGTGCCAGGAGATCAGCACTCGAATTCTGGTGTTACTTTTGCTTTTCTTGATTGTTCTGGTGCAGAGAGATTGCTCTGCTTAGGGACTGTCCTAGTCCTTTGGAAAGTCTGTGACAGCTTTAGGCCTAGATGCGCTCCTGATCTCTGTCTTTTTTCCCCAGGAAAGTTTATCATGACAGCTTCCAGTGATACTACTATCCTAATCTGGAACCTGAAAGGTGAAGTCCTTGCCAGCATTAACACTAACCAGATGAACAATGCCTATGCTGCAGTGTCACCCTGTGGGAGGTGAGGTGCATGCAGGTATTCCAAGCTGTTCCTGCTGAGAAGTGGGAGGCCACAAGAATAAACAACCTTGCTCCTTCTCAGAGGAAATTATCAGATCATCTGCAGCTTGTTGTTACTATAATGCAGTTTTCTGAGGGTTCCACATTATTTTATTTATTTATTTATTTTTTAAAAAGATTCCTGCCCCCGAGAACAGTCCCTCCAGGAGTGCTGATTCCCACCTGCACGATCTCAGACGCTTAGTGGTTTGTCATTGTGTCTCAGGAACTGCTGTTCCCGTTAACCATCTCTTGAATACCTGAGGGAGAGAACAGTACTGGCTTTGGGTGGCAAAGTGGGTGGGCCAATGTAAACAGTGTGTACATAGCAAATAACATTTTTAGTGCAGTTTTTAACCTTTTAAATGTTAATTACAAAATTAAAATCTTTATTACCTAAAGGTTGTTTATCAGGAAAATCTTGTTCTCAGCTCTGTCTCTAACCTGTTGCTGTAGCAAGCCTGTTAGTATGCACTGATCCCACTGAGTTCGGGGATCACAGCACTTAGGTTTTTTACTTTGTCTGAGTAGTTTCTCAATGTTAAGTTGTTGAGTTGCTGCTCTTGTCCCTGGTGGCCTTCCTTGGCGTTCCCTTTACTAGTCTACCAGTGAAAACTTTTTCAGCAGATCAAAGCAAAGTTCTGAATGTAGGTGTCCAGATAGGATTGACTTCACAGAGCCCGCCCTTATGCGTTCCTCTGCGAGGCACCCTGTAGGACTGCAAGTGGCCTCTGCCTCCCTCAGAGGAGAGCTCTGTGTGGCTGTGGCTATAGAGCTCTGTGGCCCAGCCAAAATAACAAATTTGTAACAAATACCCTGTCTCACTCTTTCTTCTACCCAGGTTTGTGGCATCGTGTGGCTTTACCCCTGATGTAAAGGTGTGGGAAGTGTGTTTTGGCAAGAGTGGAGACTTTCGGGAAGTGATCAGGGCTTTTGAGTTGAAAGGCCACACTGCTGGCATACATTACTTCTCCTTCTCTAATGACTCGAGGCGGTAAGTTAGTGTTATTTCACTGCCTGAAATAGCACCATCAGGACACATGCTCACCCCTTCCAGTGTGCCTGAGCAGCTCATCCAAACAGACTGCAGCCCTGCACAGTGTGGGGAAACTCTGCTGTGTGTGTGCTCCTGGGAGCACAGGGAGTGCCTTGGGCCATCTTCGCCTTCCCCAAGGGTTTCCTCCTGGTGGGTGACCGTTGCTGTAGAAAGAAGGATGCATACAGGCATACACAGGTATACACATGCATACAGGCTCACGCTGCCCAAAAGAGCACTCTATCCACAAAGGAAAGGATTCCTTCTTTGCAGATGTGGAAGGGGATTAGGGGGATTTTTCCTTGCAGTCATGTGGTTTATGTCCTGCCTGTAGGATGGCGACTGTTTCGAAGGACGGTACATGGAAATTCTGGGACACAGATGTGGAATATAAGAAGCAACAAGATCCATACCTGCTTCTGACAGGGAAGTGTGAAGTAACAGAACCATGTCACATTGCCCTGTCCCCTGATGCTCATGTCGCAGCCATCTCTTGTGGTACAAGCATTATTGTGTACAACACTCGAAGAGGAGAAGAGGAGGAGCGCTTTGTTGGTGTTCATGGACAGTGCATAACAGACTTGGCTTTTGACACTAGCAGCCGCTACCTGGTGTCTTGTGGAGACCGGGCCATCCGCGTGTTCCACAACACCGCTGGCTACCGGGCGGTAGTGGAGGAGATGGAGACCATGCTGAAAAAAACTTCCAACAAAGCCACCCGAGAGAGACTGGAGCAGCAGATCACCAGTGCCAAGAAAGCACTGGCAGCAATCTATGGCAGGAAGCACTAGTCCTCTTTGCCCACAGTAGCATTTTCCAGTTCCCTGCAGTTGTAGGGAGCAGTGTGCTGCGGCTGGTTTTTAATAACACTGAACAATTTGTAATAAAAGAGCTCTTTGACTGCTCACGCAGAGCCTTCCTTCTGTGCTTTCCGAGTGTGGTAATACAGAGCTGGATGATGCAGGGCTGACGGGGGGTGCGAGAGGCGGTCTCGAAGGGCCTCTGGCTGTCTCCGGCTGCTTGCTCCCACCCAGCGGTCGCTGATGTTGCCGGGGGGGCCGTCGTGGTCTCCCCGCCTTCACGGGGCGGGCTGTTTCCACTCCAGAGAGCCGGCGGCGGTGGGGGCTGCGTGCTGGCAGCGGGGAGGGAGCGCAGCGCCGGGCCGCCTCCCCGGCCCCGAAGCCGGCAGCGGGGAGGGGCGAGGGGGCGCTCCACCGCACCGGGGGCTGGGCGCGGGGACGCCTCCGCGGGCACGGGGCCCCGGGCCGCGGCCCCGCCCCGGGCCGGCCACAGCTCAAGATGGCGGCGGCCGCCTCGCCCCACCTTCGCGCCTCCTCCTCCTCGCGCGCCGGCGGGCGGGGCGAGCCGCGCAGGCGCAGTGCGCGCCGCTACGCTGAGGCCTCCCTCCTCCCTTCCCCCGGGCGCGGCGTTACGCGTTGACGCAGCGCGCGGGGCGGAGGCGGGGCGGAGCCTGCGCATGCGCAGGGTGCGGCGGCGGGTGCTGCGGAGCCGGGGCTGCCGGGGCTGCGGGCGCCATGTCGGGCCGCTCGGTGCGCGCCGAGACCCGCAGCCGCGCCAAGGATGACATCAAAAAAGTGATGGCGGCCATCGAGCGCGTCCGCAGATGGTGAGGGGCGGGGCCCGGGGGGGCGGGGCCTGCCGACCCGCAGCCAATCCCCGTGCCACGCGGCTGTCGGCGGAGCTGCTCCGGGGCCGAGCCTCCAATCGGAGCGCCGCGCGGGGCGGGGGGCGGTGCCAGGGAAGCGGCGGCCAATTGGCGCGCTCGGCCGCTCGGGAGCGGGGGGGGGTTGGAGCGGAAGCGCCGGTGACGGGCGGGCCGCGGGACCAATGGCGAGCGGGCGGCGCGGCGCTGACGGGCGTGTGGCGCAGGGAGAAGAAGTGGGTGACGGTGGGCGACACCTCGCTGCGCATCTTCAAGTGGGTGCCGGTGGCCGACAGCAAGGAGGTGAGCGCCGCCCTGCGGCAGCCCCCCCGCCGGTTTCCTCGCGCTGCCCGCGGCCCTGCCGGCCCCGCAGGAGCCGTCCCGGCCGGGCTCTGCCGCCCCCCCCCCCCCCCCGCCCCGCCTCTTCCCTCGCTCCCGGCGGGCGCCCGCGGGCTGCCGGCACGGGGAGGGAGTGGGCCTGGGGGGCGGCCTCTGCGGGGCGCGTCCCGCAGCCCGGCCCCGTCGCCTCGCCTTGTGCTTTTCTTTCTTTCCTCAAGAAAGAGAAATCCAAGTCAAGCAGCAGCAGTGCCCGAGAGCCCAACGGTTTCCCAGCGGACACTTCTGCCAACTCCTCGCTCCTCCTGGAGTTTCAAGGTGAGCCTGGCAGCGTCTGCTTCCCTGCCGAGCGGGGGGAAGACTCCAAGGCCTTACAGCGGGGGGGGGGTGTTGCTGGCTGATGCGTGCTGCCTGGTGGGAAGAGCAGCACACATCTTCAGCGCGGGGTTGTGCTGTTCTACCTATTCCACTTCTGCACTGTTCCTGCTGAAAATGCTGATTCTTGCCGTCAAAAAGAATCATAATCAGCCGCTTCTGGAGTGTTTCTGTGAGCAGTTTAATGGGGAACTGGAGGAGTGGGGATTCCTGTTCCCACTTTGCAGTCCCTGCTGGGGGACAGATGAGTGGCTGCCTGCAGCTGAGGCCCCTGCTTACTGTAAGGACTGGCACAGACTTTGGGATGAAAGCACAGAGGACCTTTGGTTGCTGCCAGACTGAGGGAAGGCAGTGTAAGATGATAAAGGAGAGGTTTTCTGTGAATGTAATGCTACACCTCCCTTGTTGCTGGATGTGCTGCAGTGGCAAGATGGGCTTGTTTCCTCTTCCCTGGTACTGTTAGCGTGCTTTGGCTGGGTTGGCGTGGTGATTCAGGGTTTTGCTTTCAGACCTGCTCAGACCTTTCCTTGTGGAGCAGCATCTCTGTCCTGCGGGTTGCTGCTTGTGATCCAGGAGTGCTGTAGCAGCGACGAGCAATCTCTGATGGAGCTGATCAGTGCACAAGCCCGCTGCTGGAGCAGAGTGTATGCCTGTCCCCAGACAACACAATCAACCCTCATTGTGGCTAAGGGACATCAGGCATTGTGTTGGTGCTTCCAGTAGATGCAGTTAACAAGCTAGTACTGCAGGTCTACAGTTTACCCCCCATGGAACAGCTTTACCTGGAAAAACAGGATTGCCTTCCCTTGTGGGGCAGGTGTGGAGTCTTGCTCTGATGTTAATTTGCTGCCTTGCAAACAGAAGAGGTACAAAACTCTGGTACAGAAGCAAGAGGCCTCTTGCCCTGAAATGCCCAGGTGCAGGTGCCCACCACAAGCTGCAGACATGAGATTTTGCATTGCAGAGCTTTGTGTCACCCTTGCACATTGTGCTCATTTTTTTTTTCTGAGTAGACCCAGGTTGCTTTCCTCTGCCTTGCTCAGCCTCTCCAGTTCCTTGGGCAGAAGCTCCCTCTCTTCTGTGGGGCAACTGTGGATCTGGTGCTAGTTGTGTCCCAGTGGGGAGTGCTGCATCAAGATGCTCTGACTGTTGATGAGTGACTGTGAATCCTTTGTGTGAATGCCACTGACTGTTCTTCTGTTTCCATGAGCCCTCCATGGCCCTGGATCTCAGTGCTGCCTTTGGTTGCTTGTGCTGCTGGATCAAGGTACTCTTCTTCACTAGGTGCTGTTTCTGCAGATGAGAACAGTAACCAGAGCTCCCTGTCGGATGTCTACCAGCTCAAGGTGGACAGCAGCCCCAACTCCAGCCCCAGTCCCCAGCAGAGTGAGTCCATGAGTCCTGCCCACACATCTGACTTCCGCACGGACGATTCACAGCCACCCACACTGGGACAGGAGACTCTGGAAGGTGGGCTCTGGGACAACTGGGCATGGCTGCTGGGCTGGGAAGAGAGGAGGTGGCCAGCTGAGCCAGGGAGGCAGGGGAAGGCACTGCCGGAAGGCCTTGTGACAGGGCTTGTGTCTTTCTTATAAGGCGGGTGACTGAGGCACCTCTGCTGGAGGTCTCCTTTCCTGGCTCAGTGGGCTGGGTACCACTGTGCTTCTGGGTCTGCACTGTTGTTAACCCTTCTGTTCCTTCCAGAGCCATCCCTGCCTTCCTCAGAAGTTGCAGATGAGCCTCCCACTCTCACAAAGGAAGAACCGGTCCCCCTTGAGACTCAGGTAAGGGAAGGAGGATTGATACCATGTTAAAATGTGCGTGCACCAAACTTGCCCTTTCATCCCAGGGCACCTTTACTATTTCATTAGTTGTCTATTGTAGCAGAAACATCAAGATGTATAGACTTGCTCTGCAGTCCCAAACTGCCCCCAGAAGCTCCCCAAACCTCCTGGCTTTCTGCAGGGTCCTGTGGTTTAGTTCATGTTTTAGGGCATAAATTGTGTGTGGAAAATGTGTGGAGATGGAGTAGAATAATGATTATAGCTGACTCCAGGACTGGGGTGGATTCTCACTGCTAATGCCCAGGAGCTCATTAACAGCTTGGCTCCTGCTGAGGCTGCCTCAGGAAAACTCAGGGTGTCCCCGCAGGGTGAGAGACAGCCTTGTCCAGCAGGTCAGCACGGCCTCGTGGGCGCAGTGAGCTCCTGTCACTGCCAGTGACCTCTGGGTTTTGCAGGTAACTGAAGAGGAGGAGGACTCTGGTGCGCCACCTCTGAAGAGATTTTGTGCTGATCAGAACTCTGTGTGCCACACGGCCTCGGAGAGCTAGCCTGCCCGTCCCTGGGGAGAGCCTTCGCCAGCCCCTCGCAGAGCCGCCTGCCCTCCCCTGGGGGCCAGGGTGCTTCCCCCCAGCCTGCCCTTCCTGAAGGACAGGGCCCTCCTGCCACCTTGCTATCCAGCCTGCCCTGCCCTCAGGGGCAGGAGCCTCCTGCCAGCCCCTGCAGAGGCAGCCTGCAAATGATTCCCCCGGCCAGATGGGGCTGCCACCAGTACCTACAAATTTGCCTCTATTTATTGGCTCCCACTCTCCCTGCTGACCTGTACTATAGTGGTGTGGGGTCTCTGGTGGGTGGTCTGCATGTACAGAGGGAGGGATCCTTGGGGCTTCCCAGTGTCTATCACCCCTATGGCGCTGGCAGATGCTGTTTGCCTGTTTCTGGATCTCATGACTGCCCTCCACACCAGCTGCTGCGTGCTGGGAACCAAAGAGCTGTGTTCTACCTGCACGAAGTGATTTGTCTGCTCCCTTGTGACCGTAGGCTGGGGTGTTCCTGCCATAGGTTTAAAGTGCAATGAAGGGTGGGGGGAGAGCACCCTGGGAATAAAAACAACAGCCCTTCATGCTGCTGGGCAGGGATCCCATGCTGGGACGCTGTGCAATAAGCTGCTAGTTTAAGC